CGGTGGTGACTGGACTCATTATTAATGGTATAGCATTTTTCTTCTCATGGAGTACAACAAATCCATGTACTTAAAAATCATTAAAAATAAATTTTTCTACACATTAACCTGTACACGCTCTTACTTTACAGACTGTAATTCCTTTGAGAAAGGTCGTATCGCGCCGTCTCTAGGAACACATGTTGTTGTATCGTGCATGATTTTGGATATACTTGTCGATTACGCAGATAGAATCGTTTTGAAACCGTTGACGAGATCGGTTGAAGATTTGAGTATGTGAAGATTGAGTCCGAATAATGTGCCGAGAGTAATATTTGTGAGTTTTATTGTATAGTGCCATAAGTAATAAATTTAGACATATATATATACATTAATTATCAATTTGAAACAGAAGTGTCGAGTTTTATTTAATTGCCTTCAAGAGAACCGCTTAGTGCCGAAAAGTATTTTACCCACGCGCCTACAGTATTAATTTATTTGAGAAGTCGGATACATCTTTAGTATACCCTACAGTTAATTTATTTCAGAAGTGTGGGATATATCCTCAATATATCTTACAGTAATTTATTTTCAGAAGCGGGATCGGATTTCAGATAGGATTTCAGATCGGATTTTAGATCGTTCGATCTATCAAAAAGATTGACGACTGATTTATTAAATTCGGTGTGCTGGTCGATTTGTGCGGTAAATAGCAGCGGCTAACGTAAATTGTAAGTAGATTAACACTAGAAAGTAAAATCAATGTAATTTGCAAGCAACATTGTTGAAAAAATTAGTGAGATTTGCCGTTTGAAATTTGTCGTTTGTGAAACCGGAAGTGATCGGTGGCAAGGAACATTCTCGATTCTTTGAGCCGGAAGCCTATACGTGGAGAGAGAAGCTTTCGATTCGTGGAGCCGTTAGTATCACGTGATTGAAGGTTCTCGATCCTTCGGACCGGAAGTGCGTGGTTAAGAAGTTCTCGAACGTTTTTGAAAATCCGTAGATTCATTGTCTATTCTTTTAGCAACGCCGTTCGGGGCGCTGGTTATCGTGTCGATAGCGAACGGATTACCGACAGTGTATTTCTGACTGGAATCGGACATGAATCGGGATAGTTTAACAGCGTTACATATAAATGAGTTGCGCGCGCTTGCTTTGCGTTTGAGACTCGATACTAAAGGATCACGTGTGAACATTTTAGACGTCATAGTGGATCATTACGATCGAGTTGGATGGCCAGAACAATTGCATGAGTCAATTTTATCTGATAATTCGCAAGAGCCAGCAAATGAAAATCCCGTGAATGTGGCAGGTGGTAGTGAACCGCCAAGAATTTACCGTGAAGTTGCCGACATGCATTGCCAGTATCGAAGTAATTCGCATGAGCCGCGAGTATTTGCCGATGGTTCTTCTGTTGTATGGCAAACGTGTAAAATGTGCTGAGAAATTGATACCAACCTTTTCTGGAAAAGAAGAAGAGAATGTTGTTAAGTGGCTTGAAAGAATTAGTAATGTTGCTCGAATATATTGTTTTGAAAACAATGTCATATTACTTGCCGCTGTGTGTCAATTGAAAGACCGTGCATCTGATTGGTACAATAGACAACCGCTAGAATCAGTGTCCACGTGGGAAGAATTTAAATTTTAACTAAGGCGATATTTTGAACGTAAAGAATCTTTTACGGCTACATTGTCTCGTGTCAGCTCTCGTATTTGAAAGTCGCATGTCGAAAAATTTATTGATTATGCCGAATCAAAATTGAATTTGATGTAATCGTTAACACTTTCCGAGAAAGAAAAAATAGAAGTACTGGCGGATGGAGTGAAAGATTTTTATCTACGAAGACTGGTGTTGAATACTTGGATTGATAACGTTCCTGATTTTATTGACCATGTGCGCAAGATTACAGAAGACAGTGTCGTGCGAAAAGGAGAATCATTCAAGTTCATTCAAAAAGAGGAACTTTTGTCGACAAAACTAATTTAAGTGATAAGAAGACATGTTTTACTTGCAAGAGGCCAGGTCATTTGTCCAAGGATTGCAAATTGCTAAAGTAACTTGCTTCAAGTGTGACCAGATCGGTCATTTGGCTAACGCCTGTACGTCGAAGGAAGGCAGCCACATTTCTTCTGTCAATCATCTGAATCAACAGTCATCTACTTCTGCGTAATTGCCGTCTACATCGTTTCACCATGCGAATGAGGTCTTGCTGATCGGTGATAGTGAGACTAGGTTATGTATTCTTATTCGTCGAGTAAATCATGATAAGATAACAATTCTCGCTCTAGTCAATACAGGTAGTCCAGTTAATTTAATTAAAAAATCGGTATACGAAAAATTGTTTAATAATAGAGAATTATTTAAAGTTAAGAAAGAAATTAGTTATAAAGACATTAATGAATCTCCACTATCTATTTATGTAAAATATACGATCAGATTTTTCTTGAAAATATTAAAGACTCTTGATTTGACATTACCTTTTTGGTTGTTGCCGATCAAACTATGCGTTATGATGTCATTATTGGACGTGACTTTATCAATGACTCTAATTTAAAGTTGACATACTATAATAATCGTTTTACTTTTGAAACTATAAATAATGTTGAAAGATTAGCTCAAGATATTTTGTCTATTGATGTTGTTGAGGTTAAAGAAAAATATGATGTGATAACTAATAATTTAAATAATGATTTAGATGTTCAATGCCGACGTGAATTGTTAAATATTTTTGAAGGGGTAGATAATATGGAAATCGAACAGGTCAATGACAATTATAATGTACAAGTGTATTTAAAAGATAATTCACTGTTTAGATACGCGCCTAGACGAATGTCAAATATGGAGGAAGATGAGCTACAAAGTATTACCGATGACTTGTTAAAGCAAGGTATTATTCAGCTTAGTGTATCGCCATATTGTTCACGAGTCATCTTGGTGTCACGAAGGAACGGAAAAAAGAGAGTGTGCGTGGATTTGAGACCGCTCAATCAAAGGGTATATCCGCAAAACTATCCATTCCCGATAATTGAAGATCAATTAGATAAGTTATACGGTAAACAAATTTTTACAAAATTAGATTTAAAGGATGGATACTACCAAATTGCTATACATTCGGATCATACAAAATATTTCTCTTCTGCAACTCCTTCGGGGCAATACGAATTTGTTAAGATGCCGTTTGGATATTCCGAAGCGCCGAATTCCAAGAAAGAGTTTTACAAATTTTTGATCCATTGATACGTACTAATAAAATTTTAATATATATGGACAACATATTGATTCCGACAAACACTGTTAGAAAAAATTTAACTATTTTAAAAGAAGTACTGATATATTTAAAAAATTATAGTTTAGAATTAAATTTAGAGAAATGTACCTTTTTGCGTAAGAAAATTGAATATTTGGGCTATCTAATTACGGCAGATAGTATTACTATGTGCGAGCGTCACATTGAANCTATTTTAAATTTTCCGAAACCTAAAAATATAAGAGAATTGCAAAGCTTTTTAGGATTAACAAATTACTTTTGACGATTTATTAAAGACTATTCACTCAAGATTGTGCCGTTACAAGCGTTGACAAAAAAGAATGTTCAATTTATTTTTGACGAAAATTGTGAACGAGCGTTTAAACAATTGAAAAAAGAATTGACTTTATCTCCTGTATTATGTATATATAATCCCAAGGCAGAAACAGAATTACATACCGACGCTAGTAGTCGCGGATTTGGCGCAATTCTTTTGCAGAAACAGACTAATGGTTCTATGGCACCTATAGCGTATTTTAGTCGTGCAACGTCTGATGCCGAGAAAAATTATCATAGTTATGAACTAGAAACTTCGGCTATTGTTAAAGCTGTTGAGCGTTTTTATGTGTATTTGCAAGGAATAAGTTTTCGAATTGTAACTGACTGTAATTCTTTGGTTGTGGCAATGAAAAAGATTAATATAAATCCAAGGATTGCAAGATAGAGTTTAGTTCTCCAAAATGAAAAATTTGAATTGATTCATAGAGCTTCTAGTAAAATGGTGCATGTAGATTGGCTGAGTCGTAATGTCATGAACATAAATGTAATTTCTATAGAAGATGAACTAATGTATAAACAATTAACTGATCCTACAATTAAAGAATTGGCGGAAGAACTGGAAACTAAGGATCATAAGTATTTTGTATTAATTGAAGGTCTTGTTTTTTGTAAGTGTGCCGATAAAAATTTATTTGTAGTTCCAGAAAATATGATTAATAGTGTTATACGTATTTATTACGATGATATGGGACATGTTGATATAGATAAGACCATACATAGAATATTAGGCCATTATTAGTTTCCGTGTCTTAAATTGCGAGTTACACAATATATTGAAAATTGCGTTAAATGTTTAAGCTACTCATTAGTTAGAGGAAAACCAGAAGGCGAACTGGAAATTTATGAGAAAATTGCTTTGCCGTTACATACGTTACATCTTTATCATTTTGGGCCATTAGAATCTACCAATGATAAATTTAAATATATTCTAGTTATTATTGACGCATTTACAAAATTTACATGGCTTTTTCCTACAAAGTCAACTACAACGGATGAAGTTTTAAATGTTTGAGTATTCTCTTTGATTTATTTGGATTACCGGAACAAATAATTAGTGATCGTGGAACAGCTTTTACTTCAAAGAATTTTGCTCACTATTTAAATGAACGGAAAATAAAACATGTTATGTGTGCCGTTGCTTCACCCTGGGCTAATGGTCAGGTTGAAAGAGTTAATCGTTTTCTCAAGTCAACTTTAGCTAAAATATCTGATAATCCTGCCGAATGGAAAAGTGTATTAGGTAAAGCTTAATTTGTTATTACTAATACATTGCATAAGTCAATTAATGCTACGCCAAGTAAAATACTCCTAGGTTATGATCCAGCGTCAAAAAGAAGACAATGAATTAAGAGAATTTATTGATAAATTAGCGCAATTAGATATAGATATAGAACAAGAAAGAATGGAATTACGTGATTCTGCTCAGATTGTAAATCGCGCCGTGCAAGAACATAATAAAGTACGTTATAATAAGAAACATAAGAAACCTACAAAATACAAAAAAGGTGACCTTGAACTTGTAAGAATTTTGCAGCATAAACCAGAAGAAAATCAAAAGTTGCTGCCGAAATATAAAGGTCCTTATCGTATTAAAGCCGTTCTGAAAAATAATAGATTTGTTGTGACTGAAATTCCTGGATATAATATTACACAGAAGTCTATGAATACCATTCTTCCTTCCGATAAACTTAAACCTTGGATAAGAGTAAACAAGAATAAATCTATTGTTAAAAATCAAAATCAATAATTATTGTGAGAATTTATGTTAAGTTTAGTTGCCGCTCTATTATTGTAAGAAGTATATTTTTGTAAGATAAATGTATTTATGCGTTATAGTTCGAGGACAAACTAAGTGTCAGGATAGCCGAAGTTGTAAGCGCCTGAAAGAGAATTCTGTTTAAATATTTCGCGCGACTTTGCCGAATGGCTTGATATGTATTGCCTTGTAGCTAGTGCTTTTGTCTGTATTATTATAATTCCCTTGAGAAATTATCCTCGTATCGCGCCATCTCTAGGAACACATATTGTTGTATCGTGCATGATTTTGGATACTTGCCGATTACGCAGAGAAAGTCGTTTTGAAACTGTTGACGAGATCGGTCGTAGATTTGAGTATGTGAAGATTGAGTCCGAATAATGTGCCGAGAGTAATATTTGTGAGTTTTATTGTATAGTGCCATAAGTAATAAATTTAGACATATATATACATTAATTATCAATTTGAAACAGAAGTGCCGAGTTTTATTTAATTGTCCTCAAGAGAATCGCTTAGTGCCAAAAAGTATTTTACCCACGCGCCTACAGTATTAATTTATTTGAGAAGTCGGATACATTTTTAATATATCTTACAAGTGTTACTCATTGTGCGTTTTTGCACACAACTTCGCAGACTTGCGATCATTAGTGTTTACAAGTTAAAAGTAAAACGTTTCTAGCATGTTGCAGCGGGTGGAGAGAATGCGCACAATAATAGCAAAAACTTGCTCGAGCAAGTTTCCGCTGTTGTTGCGCATCCT